TCAACTCTCCCTTTTCGTACTGCAACAAAAAGCTGAGGAAATTCCTAGGTCAGACCTGGGCCCAAGGTTGAAATTTTTCTATAAAATTTGAAAGGGATTCAGTCAGAGATATTCGAATGATGCCATGCCACTCCTGAGAAAACACAGCTTGCAGGCACAGATTGTGTCCCTCCAAGCACTTAGGTGTCCTCTCACACAGGGGTGAATCTCAGTATGAACAAACTCTGTTCGATAAAATTATTGCCTCCTCCAAACCTCTTCTCCATGAAAGCTCCAGCTCTCCTTCTCTAGCTCCACCATTCACATGGAGATGCTTGAATAACACAAGAAAAAGCATCATACTAAGGAGTTATATTTTAATGTTTATGCTATGGCTTTTTGTATAATAGGAATAATCGCTATTGCTTTGTAGTACACTTACAACAAATAGCTTTTGAGATTGCTCAAACACTTTAGCTCCACTTCAGCTCTTAATCAAACTCAGCAGCTGTTTATTGCAATTACACTATAAAGCAATAGACATTATCCCTTAACTAACTGTCTTATTAATATAGGTAGTTACACAGCTATTTCATAGTTACTCTTAAATAACTGCTTTTAATTATTTTATTAACATAAATAACCACCTCAATAAATTTAAATTAAATGCATATGTGAGAAAAGTAATTTAAAGCAGTGCACAAAATTGCATCTGTTTACTAATGTTTAAATTGATGTCATTGTGTAATTCAATTAAAATGCAACTTTAATTTATTTCAATTTTGATCACCATGGAACACCTAAGACACTAGAACTTCCTAAATATTGAAATGGGCACTGCCTGGTCTGTCTTCTGTTGTTATATTTTCTTTGCAATATTAGTTTGCTGTCAGGAGAATGAGATTTCTTTTTACCCACAAAACTTACAATTTAATAACTCCATTTAGTTTTTTTTTTTTTTCTTCTCATTCTCAGTCAAAGCAACAGATGAAACTGGATTGCATTTTGCCTTCTAGTTCCCTTATACAACTGCTTTCAGTGGAGAAAAGGATTTTATTTTCCTGTGCAATATTGGATCCTCCATGTCTTATGCCATTTGTTCTGGTAGGATCAAGCTCTTTGCCTTCAGCTAAGGGAAAGGCAGACATTGCCTGACCTGGCCAGAAATCCCCTTATTCTTCCTCATAGGGGCCAGTTTATTGTTCAGTGGCCTCATTCTACCCAAAATTCCTCCACTGCAGAGCAGGCAACACTTGCACAGCAGCTTTTATCCCACAGTGCCACTAACGAACATTTTTCTGAAAAAGGACCACAGCACAGATTAGCGTATGCCACCTCTCATTTTGCAGAGTGATCTGTCCATCATACTGGCTTATTCAGATGTTCTTTTCCCCAGAGTCCTTGCAGTTGGGGATGAAACAAAAATCTCCCATCCTTATTGTGTTTTAGATTCCTCCCCTGAAGGATAAAGAGGAAAACGCTTGCTGAAGAGCAAGGAGAAAAGGAGAGGGACTCCCTTCACCGCTTGTTTGCGATAGACAGGAGAAAAGAAGATGTTAGAAAGTGGTGGGAGAAACTTAAAGTGGCAAATATAAGTCAGGAAAAACATAAAGGTGCAAAAGGATGTAAAGAGGCCTCACATACTTTCCTGCTATTTCTTCTGTCACACAAAATTTTTTGATTTAGTTCTATAGCTGGTGCAGGGACCTGTAAATGTGAACTGCTACCTCTCTGAAATGAGATCACAACAACCCCCGCCCCCCTCAAAAGTAACTGGGATGTATTGAAAAGAATCGTTGAAGCCAGGAACATGTAAAGCAAAATTTCTCTGAGGGTCTTGATTTGGATCTCAGCAACTTTCAATATAAAACTATAGAAATTGAGGCATATTTGGCTCATACAATGTCAAGGATGTTACAGGAGACCAACAAAGGGAAGAATTTGGTCCATGAAATCCAACCTACTAATGGTAAATTCTGCTAACTAGCAAAGTCCATCCTATCCTCTGCATGCTAATTAGAGGACACAGTCTCCCTAGAAGGAATCATTAAAAAATGGCGTTTCAATGCGTGTACACACTCTGTATTAGGACGAAGGGTGCCTCAGTGACACCATGACTATGGAGAAGTGGAACGTAGCTGGAGACAACAAAGATGAAAATGATGATTTATTTATTTTAATACTTCTATCCAAATGTAATGGGTAACATGAAGGGATAATTACAGGCTCCGTCAGAAAGGGGTTGCTGATGCTGTGATCTGGCAGACACACTAAGCTCCTCAGGAGACGAGCTCTTAAAAGTTTACAGACTATGCTGGGCAAAGACATAGGCGATTCAGTACAAAGGGATTTTACAGAAAAATGGAGAAAGTATGAGTCAGGGAATAATGTTTAAACTTCAGGTAACTGAGAGTTATCAGGGTTTGGATAATTGAAGTTCCAATGTATATTTGCCTACACTGTCGCTTACCTCTGAGCCCTACCTAGGCATCTTGACATTTATGTAGTCTGAAATCCTGAAAGCTCTGAGTTTAGACAACTAAATTGTTGCTTGTCAATTTACTCTTGACTGAAAGACAGGTGTTTTGTTTCAGAGTAACACTCCTTTCAGACTCCTCTATTCCCGAACTCAGATTACTGAGCTAAGGAACTACTGAAAATGAAATAACTTACAAGCAGGCGAAGACATTTACATACCTTGAACAACATAATTCTTTGGGCAAAATAGGGATTTTTAATTATTGCTTGGTTTTTGTCATATGGGATTCTTGGATCTAGCTCTCTGGTGGGAGCTGGAGGAGCTTGGAGGCTTTGAAGGTTCCTACTTTTTTGGTAATGTGGTAGATCCTTTGCTATTGATATGCAGTTTTACAAGCTTATTCCGCTGGATGCAAACCGCCCTGTGAACAACACCCTGAACAAAAATCCATTTGAGAATCTGAACCAGAATTCTCCAAAAATGTGATTCTGGAAGCAGGCACACAAATAAGCCTGCTACACACACAGCAGTCAAATGCCAACAGTGCAAGCAAGGAGTATGTTACCTACCTGATGCCTACATCCTAACTTTACATCTAATTCAAAGTGGGTCATTATTATTGGGCCTTCATTATTGTCCCTCGTAAGTGACTGGGATCACTTCCAATAACGAACAACTTCTCTCCTGGCACAACTTTGCACAGGCAACTTACACAGTCCAAGAGCTCCACATGCTGATGGTGCCACTGGGATCCCCCATCTGACTGTGACTACAGTTTTGTACTCTTAATGCAATGGGAAGTGTATCAGGGAGCCCAGAAAACAGCTCAGGCAGAACACAGCACCATCCATCTGACCCCAAATTTAGCCTGCCTTTGAGATGCTACTGCATGGGAGCAGCAGATGAGTCCATTACCATGAAGTGCCTCATTGCAAAAAGCAGCAGTGAGACCTATAGTGCGCTGACCCAACCCTGCCTACATTCATGCCCTCTGATAATCCAGGTTTTCCTTTTTTCCATACCTCTCTATCTGAGTGCTGGTGTCCACACACATTTGGCTTATTGGCGTTGTGGCAGGGTTTGGACCTTAATTCCTTTGTTTATACCATTAAGTGTGTTGAAGGCAACAGAATACAAGCTTCATCACACAGATCTGCCAATAACCTCAGCTCTGACCTGGAGGGATCGCGTGTTCCGGCATAGGTTAAGGGTCTCATTTAATTTAGAACTTTAAGCTGGATTTGAACTGTAGACCCAGAAGTAAAAAAGCCAGTATTTTTATCTAGGAAGCCACACAGCTCTGGTTTCCTGACTGGTACTTGTGACATCCCAGTATTGGCAAACCACGGAGATATTAACTGTGTGCTCTATTTTCTGCCCTTAATTATGGCCAGCTAGTCTGATTTTTGTCTTTTTTTTTTTTAAAGGATTTGAGTGACAAAGTGACTATGCATATCATTCCACATTTGAACTGTAAGACTTCAGTATTTCTACCTCTAGTGTGTAATTGGATCAGCTGCCAGTTACAGAAAGGAGCTGGGTGAGTATTAAGTGTGTGGAAAATGAAGAAGAGTCCAAGTGTGAAGGGGAGGAATAATTTGACAAAGCCTGCAGTGAGCTGTACGTGGTTTTCTCGTTCCAAAATGGAGTAGGTTTTGAAGCGCATGAGAAAAAAATGGCTTTGATTTATTAGCTTTGGTTCACAGAATGCTAGCCACAATCTTGGAGTTACTCAAGACATACGGAAAGCCACAGTCCCTGCCCCAAGGAGCTTACAATACCAACATTATCATAACGAGGATGGCTGAGTGCCAAACTGAAAAACAGTCTGCTTTTATGTGACTCGATAAAGCTGTGCCTTGAACAACCTTGTCAGGCAGCGCACAAATCTACTGCCGTGGGCTTGGCATCACAGCAGGGCTGGGGCTTAGTGTGTTCGTGATACAGTGGTGCTCAAACCATTGCACCCAATGCTCTTTTATCAGTCTCCACTGTAGCACTTGCTTACTTTGAGTTTCTCAAAGAAAGGAATGAAGCTAATGTAAGCATGAAACATTTTAAAATCTACTGCAAAATTCCAAAGTAAATCTCTCAGCCCTTTAAAAAGGTGAGAAATAGATGAGGACTCTGTTCAGTCAAAAAGTGAGAGTGTTTCTCTTGGGACAAGAAAATTGCCTTACCAATGAGTTCCTCTGTTAAACAGAGTTATGTCAGGAGCAGACAGACAGACAGACAGCTCTTTATCCAGTAAGTGTTCAATCATTTATACCTTTATAAAATACAAGCAAATCCCCTCAGATATGAATAGGCAGTTTGTAGGTTTCTGGTCAAACATTACTGGTGGGACAGAAGAGCTGAGTGGATTGTGAGAACCTCCTTCACTTTATATTTCAATGTAACTATAAGATGTAACTCAAGACAACAGTCTGATCATGAGGTAACAAATTTAGTGGGTAAGGAGAGAGGACTGCAGCCTAAAATCAAAGCAAAAGTCAGAACATCCAGAAGAGCTCATGAAAGAGGCAGAAGAAATGGCAATTACCTGAAAATTCACAGACAGTTGTCCCTCAGCTGTAGAAATCCACCATAAAATCCACCATGCTGATCTGCAAGGAATAAACAAGAAGCATTCATTAGTGGTGCAAACAAACATAGAGAATTACAAATATGCCAAGTGGATTGACTCCCCAGTGGCAGCCAGGATACATGTAGTATTGCCAAGAAGGTGGAGAGAGCAAAGAACAACTGAGCTTTGCTACCTCCTAACTCTAGGTTGCTCCAAGCTACAAATGGTGGCTTACTGCCTACAGGACCAAACTGATATTCTAGCACTGGAAATTCTTCTGCTATGCCTTCAATAGCATCCACTAATTGGGAGGAGCAATGTCCAAAAGGGCACCTGGGTTATGGCCATAGAGTCGTATCCTTTCTCACTGGTATAAAAGCTCTGCAGACAAGTTATCAGGCAAAAACACAACAAAAAAACAACTCAAAATAATTTCTCTCTCACTCTCTAAGGGGGGTGGGGAATTAAGACAGAATGCCCTACCTCAAAGGACATCCAGATTGGATCAGAACATCTCAGAGAGATAGAAAGGGAAAGATGGCAAGAGGTGGTAGTGTAAAGGTTTTATCAGCATGAGTTTGGGATGACCACATTACTCATAGGTCATTGTGCTTTCCAGCTGACTAGAGACAGATGAAATAAGGAAGACAACGGCCTCCAGATTTCCAGGTAGCAGCTGCAGCCAAGTCTGCCTTCTCAGCTGCCCTTTTAGTCTGGAATATGCATGGCGTTGTTCAGAAAGTGGCTGACTTTTTATGCAGCAGGGAACCCACCGTGACATCTCACTATCACCAAGCAAGCTCTAGAAGAACATCAAGACAGTATTTTTGTTATGGGAGGGAGGAAAACTTCAAATGTAATTACTCAGTTCTTCCCACAATTTGTATACTTCCAGTATTTCCTAATATTGAACTAGAACAAGTACTTCAAGATTCTTGTGGATCTCAGCCCATCTCCAGTGGGAAGGCACCAGCAATAGGTTATCCTGATGTGAATCCACAACCGTTATGGCAGAAAACAGATGTAGTTCTTCATGTCTCATAGTCGCAGCCACAATACTGAGCTTTTGTTATATAATAAAGACATCACAAATATAATTTATTTATATTGAAGTGATGCCATTATGCCAGGTGCCGTACAAAGACTTTACCGTGGACTGCTTGCATTTTCAGAGAGTACCATCTAATCAGATATACACTCAGAGATCCCGACAGCTGAGTGGAAAACAACACTGCCATTCCTGACATCTCTCAAATTAGCAAGAGCTTATAATGAAGCCTTTGTAACATGTCTCTTTCAAGGATTTGTTGGATACCTCTCTTGCCGGGAATGGATGCACATGGGGTAACTGACCTTCTGCTCCATGCTTAATTCTCTCACCTCATACTACATTGCTTGTTTCCTGCACTCGGAGATCTCCTACTTGTGTTTGAACTCTCTGAATACTCTCTTCAGATACACACAAGGAGCCAGAGGCCTTGGTAACCTTCTATCCTAGTAGTTCTTTTCCTGCAGTCAGGAAATTATCTCTTCTTTTTTGTTGTGGTTTTTTTTTTTTTTTTGGTTGGTTGGTGTGTTATGGTTGGGGTTTGGGTTTTTTTTTTTGTTGTTGTTTTTTTTTTGTTTGGTTGGGGTTTTTTGTTTTGTTTTTTTTTTTTTTTTTTTTGTGTTTTTTTTTTGTTTTGTTTTGTTTTTGGGGTTTGTTTTTGTTTTTTTTTATTGCAAAGAACTAAGGGAATTCCCCCTTCCACTGCTTGGCTTTATGCTGGGCCCTAATGGCAGTGATTGGTGACAGCACAGGAAAAAAAAAAAAAAAAAAAGCCACATACAAACAAAACTGTCTTATTTTGCATAGGATTTTATGTCAATAATTTGATGATTTCAGCAATTCCACATTCATATTGGTATCCACCTATCTAGAAAACGATGTATGCTTCAAATAACTCCAGTAAGCATCACAATATGCCTTTGTGAATGCTTGTACATTTATCCATTAAGAATTCAAATCAGATAAAACTCTGAGACTTGATTTTCACCTGATATAAACCCACAAAGATAATGTAATTACTGGTACGCCAGTTTACACCTGCAAAATACCTTACCCTGAAATATCTTGTCCTCTCTGTCTCCTTCATTCAAGCAGAGGGAACAGGTACCAGTAGGGGAGTGCTTCAGATTCTGCCTCCAACTCTCTTCAGATGTGTGAGTTCACATAAGGAGCCGGAGGCTACAGTTGCTTTCTTTTTCCTTCATTCAGGAAATTGTCTTTCTCTTTTTAAAATGTAATCAACGAGGGAATTCCCCCTACTGTTGTCCAGCTTTGAGAGAGGAGCCTGATTTGTACTTTTAGCTAAAAATCCCTGAAAAGTCATCAGAGGGCTCCCTGACTTCAGTGGGGCAGACCTGGCTGAAAGGGGATGCTCCGGCTCTTTGCCAGCGTCCCTCCCCTGCCCAGTACCGTATTGCTGCCGGCGTCGGGGCAGTGCGAGCAGCTCGGGCCGCCGTGCCCCAGCGCTCTGCCTCCCAGCACAGCTCTGTCACTGTGCGCAGTGCTCGTGTCACGCTGTTTACAGAGTGTGACAGAGCAGAGGAGAGCAGAGGTATGGTGGGGAGGGAACGGAGCCAGGCCCAGCAGCGCTGGGAAAGCATCACCAGAAGTATCGGTTTCTGCAGGGCAGAGAGAAGCAGAGCTGAGGGCTGTGGAGGGGGATTAGAAAGACGAGGTAAGTGGCACCTCTAATATGTTTTGCCAGGATAAAGGAAGAAGAAAAGAAGTGTGAGACAGATATACAAGAGGTAAAGCTGGTTTAGGAAAGAAGGGGGAAAAAGCACAAAAAATATCATAATAAAAGAACCCCAGCAGTAGCAGTGATTCAAGGAGAAAAGAGGACTGATGGATAGCTGTGCTAGCATGAGTGAAAAAGGATAAACCAAACCTCTTCAAATCATTAAAAAAGAAAACCAAACTGCATTTAAAAAACCTAGTGAGAAAAAAAAAAAAAAAAAAAAAAAGCCAGTGGACAAATAAAACAGAGAGAGGATTTCTATGAGCACAGAAGCAGAGGTCAGTACACCATGGTCATTCCCTAAGAAAGGAGGAAGTAGAAGTAAAGGAAAATACCTAAATATAAACCACTAATTATAAACAAATGAGACATGGACTGAAATTCTATGATTTTTTTGAAACTTTGCTATTAGCATATCTCCAGATATAAATGCCTTAATATGATGCCAGCTTTCTGTAGGCAGAAATGCACAAATGCAGCAAATCAGTTCTGCCAGGCAGACAGCAAAGTAACAAGAAATCATTTCCTCCCATGCCACGTGGCACCACTTTGGTCCATGCACATCCTCTCCCCAGCATAAACCCTTGGAAGAGGCACATGGCAGGGCAGCAGAGCAGAAGGATTTTTAGAAATACAGAGGATAAGAACACAAATGTATAACTACGTCGGGAGCCTAGAGCTTAATTCAAACAATAATTACACAGCTCAATCTCTGACGAAGGCTCCTCAATCGACACCCTGGCCCAGTTACTCTTTTTTTGTCACTTGGAAATCAGTTTGTCTAGGCAGAAAAAATACTTCTGGATCATTCTTGCCAACACCACCAAAACTGAAAATTGCCAAGAGTCTCCTCTGAATATCAATGACATCCATAAAAATACTGGACGTGTAAGAGCATGTTCAGGAGCTGTTTGGTCTACTGCTGAGCCTGAGCTGGTGCACTGTCACGATGGTAACCTCACACCATTCGTTAAGTCCACTAAGCTTAAGCTAATTTCTCAAATTGCCTCCAGGGTGCCTTGGAGCACAGCTCCAAGCTCACCTTTCCATGGAGAGAGGAGCACCTGAGCCACCCCATCGAACTGATGCCTGAAAAAGAAGCCATGGTAGGGACATGCAGGCCCAACACTGGGCAAGGATGGCTCCATGGAAGAAGGGTGGATGAGAAGAAGTGAGCAAAGACTAAAGGCAGGCTTCATTTTGCAGACACCACTCAGGTGGAGCAGATGCCCTACTCCGTGAGATGGAGGTAATTCCAGACCTGAGCCTTAAGCCAAGATAATTTTGGTATGTCACTCAATTATTTTGAATGACAGAAGGAACTATTTTCCACGCTGGCCTAGTTTTAAAAGTAAAGATGTATGAGTGGACCTCAGAATTTACACAGAAGTTTGATGGGGTTAAAAGTTGTGCCCACTGACATGTTTTCAAGCAAAGAAATACCTGCAACCAATTCTTAGGTGTTATACTGCACATGGCCAAGTGCTGTTCTCACTTCCATCCTACCAGTGGGGCTACATGATTAACATTAACCATCCCAAAGGCAATATTCTGCCTATTGATCAGGGTGCCATTCTGGAAGGGATAGATTCAGACTGACACTGAAAGCTGATTTTGCAATGTATATATGTACATTCCCTTACAACAAAAGAGCCACCTATAGTTCTTCATTTTACCAGTAAAATCCAGTTAACTTCTGTGGTATCACACCAAGAAAAATGAGGTGACAGTCTGGCCCCAAATCCTCAGTTCCACAAATACTACACTGCTACAAAGACAGGGCTTTTTCAGAGGCTGAGCAGATAGTGCCCAGATCCGGCAGCCTTTACTCAGACTTCAACTCATGGACTGTAATGGAAGTATTACCTTAATTCATGATAGCATCATCACTAAGAGTGCTTCTGTACACACCTTATTTGTCAAAATAAATGTAGGGTTTTTTTGTTTTGTTGTGTTTCTTTTTATTGCTAGGGGTGGGAAAGAAGATGCAAATTAATTTTTTAAATAGAAAAAAAATCCACATCCTCTTTTTCTGAAACAAACAGCTTAGAGACAGAGAACAGCCTTTTTTTGTCCCCCTGCCAACCCCTTGTTCTGTACAGCACCCCAGTCCTACCCTTGCTTTAAGATTAACTGTCGATCTGAAGATTGACTGTGCTATCCTTAAGACCAGACATTCTTTGGATTTGGTTATTATATCAAGGTGCATTTGTGCTTCTAAATGGGCAGCTGTACTGTAAATGGAACACAAAGG